CATACTTCGACACTAACATGGTCATCATTTTAGCCGCACTACTCTGCGCTCTAATCTGTGCTCTAAGCCTCAACTCTGCCTTGCGGTGTGTGCTACGTATCACAGGCAGATTCACATCGGATCAAGACGGAGCCGCTTCAACCGCAATCGCAAACTCAAATTCGGGACATTTAGCGGCTACGACGGGGTTGAAGAAACGGGCGTTGAAACAAATCCCCGTGGGATTGTACGGATCAGGTATCGTTAACATGAAAGCTACCGAATGTTTGATCTGTCTCGGAGATTTCGTGGAAGGAGAGAAAGTTAGGGTTTTGCCAAAATGTAACCATGGCTTCCACGTGAGGTGCATCGACACTTGGTTGCTTTCGCGTTCCTCTTGTCCTACTTGCAGACAATCGCTTCTCCTTGAGCAACCGTCGCCGATTGATAGTGGTTCCCGGCGGGATGACCACGTGGCAGTTTCTGTCGTGGGGACTTAAGTTAATGTTTCAGGTGGGTTTCATTTTTTTTTTGTGTTTACATAATTGTTTCTTACTTTATTTTGTGCAAATTAATGTTGTATTCAGTTTTTAAGTTAATTTATCTTGTGCAAATTAATGTGGTATTTACACATATATACACCTTCTTGTGCGCTAGTGAATTTAACGTGATGGGGGGGGGGGGGGGGGGGGGGGGGGGGGGGGGGGGGGTTTGGGACTTGAAATAAAGCAAGTCTTTCAATTTTTGTTTTTTGTTTTGTTTAGTAGTTCCATAATTACTATAAGTAGCTCAATGGATATATTAGTAGGCCTGAAGTTCAAAACTTTCTGTTAGTATAAATTAAAAAAAAATTGTAATTATAAAATGTTGATAGGTTTAGTTTTGTTTTTAGCACAGGCACAACCGAAACATCATTTACTTAAAAACGGAAGAAATATGTTTTTCATCAGTAAACAGTTACGATCCAAGTAATTTCATAAGTCATAACTAATGTGATGTTCATTTTATCTTTTGAATTTGTTTCCTCTTATTTTTCGGTTAAAAAAGAAATACCGCGCCATTAAGGATATCATAATTCAACGAGCTCTCTTCTCGTGTAAATGATGCATTTCTACAGCCTCTTGCTTAGTCTACAGACCGCGTTATTCCTTACTAAATGCATCATTAGTAACTTATTGGGCCTTAATGGGACTCAATTTTCCATGATTAACTTATGTTTTCTTAGTGGCCCATAAAAATCGTATTGAGGGACCAAATAATAGCTTCACGTTTAGAACTGTTTCATAAACGGTTATGAATACCTTTTTGCTGTTGCTGTTGGTTAACGTATAAACAATTTTAAAATTCTAATGTATAAACAATCGTTAAATTCTAACGAGATTTTAGCGTAAGGGAAAAATCTCCTTTTAGGCTCGATGTAATAAAAAAATTTCTTTTCCAAAATTCTTACAACAAACACAATATCTTTTTAACAAACCATAAAAATTTCCATATATAATATATGAAAATACTTCTCGAAAATAAATCGAAATTAGAAAATGTATCAATAGAATTCGTTCCATGGCAACTTGAATGAAAAGATAAATATTTTATTATTATTGATGCAAAATTATACATGAGCATTAGCATAGAAACTCTTAACTACATTGCTTAGTGACATAGCATAATCTGGATCATCATATATGGATTCAAGATAAAATCTTTTTCATCATCTGATAGCAATTAAATCATCCATTTACGTTAATATTATTAATATTATTGAACATTCTCTTTATACTATTTTGACGTTTGGTTATAAAATTTCAAATATGAAATAAGGTAGCATATAGTAATCACAATTTTTTGTTGAAATGACAGCTTCCTTAGTATCTTACTTAAAAAAATCATAAATTTGTACGAACTTTTCACTATGTCTTTATTCATTTGCATCTTGAATTTTTATAAAAATATACAATTGTTAATTATTAGATTTTATATTTAAAATTGTATCAAATCAGGATATCATCATATTTTCATTATAATACATTTTTTTATGTTTTTCTTTTCACCGATTCTATATATTTGAATGCTGACAAAATAAATTAAAAAAACATTAAATTTTCTCTCAACTCCTTAAAACATTACACCATTACAAATAATATTTTGAACATATTATTTCATTTCATTCATTTCTTTAGAGCAAACTATAAAGCAAAAAATATTTATCATCAAATTTATAAACAAAGAATAATAACAAATATATTGATAACTATTTAAGAAAATTACAGTTAAATGATAAATCGTGATATCAGTTATAGGTTCATACATAAACAAAATTTAAATTTAAATGAACCTCATGTTTACAATTGATATTTAGTTAAAAATTTTAAAAAAAATAAAAACTATATTAAAACGTACTTCAAATCAATACATTGATATTGTTTTAAATTAATATTGCTATCTAATTATTTTAAAGTCTAATCTACATTAATATTTATAAAATTAATTCCAAATCCAAATCAGCATTATGTCCTTAACTTTAATTTAATATTGGTAGTTATATTTTTATTATTTTTCTATATAATTTTTAAATTATAATGTATAATAAGAAATGCAGAAATAGACTTGGCAAGAAAATCTTAATTCTAATTAAAATATCAATGGAATACTAAAAAGGTAAAAAATACTACTATTATCTTAAAAAATCAATAAAAGGAGCATATCTGGAATTGACTGCCACTGGAATTGACATTTTTATAAATTCAACTACTTTGAGTCTTTGATGACTGATAGATACTAGGAATAAAATCAAATAAAATGATTAGAATAGTAAAAATGGTAACAAAAATAATAATAACCCAAATTGATCAAGAATATATCAACATGTTGACCACAGTGGTAAACTAACAATTTAAAATTAAAATGACCAGCAAGAATAAGGAAAATGTTAGTAAATTCACAATGAAAAACAAATAATACAAAACAACTATATATATTATTATTGTGGCCATGAAGAATAAGGAACATGTCAGTAAAATAACAATGAAAAATAAAAAATAATACAAAGTAACTATAATATCTCTCTCTCTATATATATATATTATTAACTTAATGGTATGCTGATATTCTCTCAAAAAAATACTTCTTGTTTGTTGATTTCTAAATTTGTGGATGTCATGTCCATGCATGCATGATTGTAATATTGTAAGAAAGCTCTATATATAAATCACTAATTGACTCATCGAAGACAACAGAGCACAAAAACAAAAAAAAGCAAAGAAAAAAATGAAGTGTTTGTGTTTGATCGCAATTCTAGCGATTGTGATCGCACAAAACTATAGCGATCTAGGAGTAGAAGCTGCGTCGAGTGATGCATTCGTGAGTAGGAAAGGCGTCCAGTTTATACTCAATGGGAAACCATTTTACGCCAATGGATTCAATGCCTACTGGCTCACGTACGAAGCCACCGATCCGGCCACAAGATTTAAGATCACAAATGTGCTTCAAAACGCGACCAGTCACGGTTTGACCATCGTACGCACTTGGGGCTTCCGCGATGGCGGTTACCGTGCTCTCCAAACCGCCCCTGGTTCCTACGATGAAGTAACGTTTCAGGTAAGTAATCAACAGATCTATTTAAAAGATAATTATTTTTAATTTCCATATGTTACAATGAATGTCAACAAAAAAATAAATTACAATGAATTTTCGATTAAAACGTTAAATTATAGAGAGTCTAGATTTTACTTACCAAGTGTGAAGTTTTTTTTAATCTACATCTCTCTTTTTTTTTTCTGTTAGTAATTTGTTTTATATCTTTGGTGAAGGAAAGGGTTTGGATTTTGCGATAGCCGAAGCAAAAAGACTCGGTATAAAATTGATAATCCCCTTTGTCAATAACTATTCTGACTTCGGAGGGAGGAAACAATACGTGGATTGGGCTAAAAGTAAAGACCAATCCGTAACTTCCGAAGATGATTTCTACACAAACCCTCTTGTTAAAGAATTCTACAAGAACCACGTCAAGGTACAAATACAAAGTTCAGGCTGATTAATTAATATTTTCGTGACAAAAAAATGTATTATACCGTAAATTATATAAATCTCTCTTTGTACGTAGACAATGGTGAACAGAGTGAATACCTTGACAAAAGTTGCATACAAAGATGAACCAACCATTATGGCTTGGGAGCTAATGAACGAGCCACAATGCAAAGCAGATCCAAGCGGAAAAACCCTTACGGCTTGGATTACTGAAATGGCTCCTTACGTAAAATCACTTGACTCAAATCATCTCCTCTCTACTGGTCTTGAAGGCTTCTATGGTGACTCATCTCCCGAAAGAAAGAATTCTCTAAATCCAGCCGCAGCCAACGTTCTTGGAACCGATTTCATCGCTAATCACAATCTTGATGCCATTGATTTCGCATCGTTCCACTCTTACCCTGACTTATGGTAATAATAAACTCACATTCGTTATGTTCTTTTTGTTCCTTGCTGAACACATCACCTTATAAAAAGAACCATCTTAATATTTTTGGCAGGTTTCCAAACTTAGATGAGAATTCTCGATTGGACACATTAAGAAAATGGCTCGAAGGCCACATCGAAGATGCGCAGAACATTCTTAAGAAACCTCTAATCCTAGGAGAGTTCGGGAAGCTAACGAGTACACCAGGCTATACTCTGGCACAGAGAGACGCCGTCTTCAACGCAACGTTCGACACCATTTACGCGTCTGCGCAAAAAGGCGGTTCAGCCGCGGGAGCATTGTTTTGGCACGTTATTAGCGACGGTATGGACAATCTTAAAGACTCCCTCTCCATTTGTACTCAGTGACAAATCCTCGACGATTGATATTATCGGTCAGCAATCACGAAAGTTGGGTTTGATCGGTGGGAAAGGAAAGTTAAGTCGCAAAATTAAAAACTAAAATTTTAAGCAGGGTCTTCTGTAATAATATTAGGTAATAATCTACGCTTTTTCCTTTGTATTATTGATTGCAACGATAGTAAAAATGAAAAATCTCAGTGACTAAAATATTAAAATCAGTTTACATTTAAATAACATTCTCTTAGCATTTTCATACTCTTTCAATCAAAATTATGTGAAAAGATGATGCAACATATGTTTACCTCAAAAAATTAAAATGAAATTTCTGATTACAAGATGAAAATTAGATCTTAATTTGCATCATACAAGCACAAGCCTAATCATCTCTTCTACAAGTTTTGGATACTATCTACAAATCAGTTTACCTTGTTATTGCCTGAAAGTGATCTCACAAGTCCAATGTATCTGCTCTTGTAATGATCCAGAGAGAAACAAAGCTCTCTTATAGCTTCCCTTTTCTCTTCCTCTCTTTGTGATATCACATCTCTCTGCAGCTCCACTAGATTCTCCAGCTCTTCAACTCTACTTTTCAATTCTTCCATGGCATTCTTGTCGGTTCCTCCTGATTCAGACATAATCTCAGTGTCTTTAACACAAACCTGGTTCAAGTACTCCTCCATTTGCTCGATCTGTATATCTCTTGATCTCAACTCTGCTCTTAGGCTATCTAACAACTCAGCACCATCATTATCCGTCTGCAGCTTCGATTTCTCGTTCTTGCATTCATTCAACATTTCCATCAGCTTTAAAACCTCAACGTCTGATACCTCTAAACACTCACTACACTCCTCGAGCTCCCTTTCTAGACTCTGAATCTTGGAACTCGAATCCGATAGCTTACTCTCTAACTCGACCACGCGTCTGTCTCTGGCTTCTAACTCGCTCAGTGAGGTTTCTAGCTCCGCACGAAAGATATCAGCAAGCGAAAACGCAGACTGGTTCTTCTCAACCTCGCTCGGAGCCATTTCGCTGCTCGTTTTGCTCCCTGGTGAGACCGTGTGGTGCTTAAGAGATGTGGATCCTGGCTCCGAATCTAACACCACAGAAGGAGAAACATCAGAGTCAAAGGAGCTCAAATGCGCCATTGAAGTTGCAAGGGAAGAGGCATCGTAGTGGTCTGAACACGAAAGCTTAAGATCAAATTTGAGGAGGCCGTTGATGAGCTCTTGGTTCAATTCGTGGTAAGTCTCACCAAGAGACTGATATAAGCAAAGAAACCTCTCTTTAGACTCAGGTTCACCATCTTTGATCAATCTTAGCATTTTTTGAACATTCTGATTTATCTCTGTTGATCCAAAATATTAGTATATGTTAATGATGTTTAAACAGAAAAGAAGCATAACCAATTTTGGGACAGGAGAAGAACAGAGTTAGATTTAGACCTGTTAATATTTCTAGTAATGACTTAGAATTATGTGGCCACAAGGATGAATCAACATTCTTTGGTCCTGTTTCCGTTGGAAAATCCATCTGAGATATGAACTACAGATGAAATATGTATCATCAGGAAATTAGTTTACAGAGACATTCAACAATGACCAAGCAGATTTGTTTCTAAAATTTAATCAAAAGCCAGAAGAAGCCCAGATGTACAAACCTTAATCAAACAAATCGGATGATCTCTCGACGAATACTTCTAGTTCCCAGAAAGAAAGAGCGAGAGAGAGAGAGAGAGAGAGAGAGATTTTACTGACCTGAAATTGATTTTGTTCACCCAGATTTCTTCTCGACGATAGGGGAATAGTACGATGAGGATTTGAAATGAGGGACACAAGTTACGATGGGGAAGCTCGATTTGAGAGAAAATGGCGGTCTTTTGGTTTCAAATTTTCAATTTTCAAAACCCTAACGAACGTAGAGATATACGTGTCGTGTGTATACTGTCAAATTTATTAATTTTATGATATTAGCATACTTTTCTATAGAAAATCAAGCATTTCACCACCACATATTTCGAAAGGCTCATGAAAGTGTATCCTTTTTTTTTGGGGGGGGGGGGTGGGGGGGGGGGGGGGGGGGTCTTCCTTATCTTCTACTATAATTTTATTCATTTTTTTGTAGTTTATCACTTTTACAGCAACTCAGCAAAAATAATTCTTCTCTATGTTTTTCTTTCTCATAATATTAGGACGAGAATGAATATTATAACATGTTTTAAAACATGATTCGGATATGTGTAAAGTTAGGCATGATGTTAATTAAGACGAAAGTCCCAAATTCGGTCTGAACCTTAAAAACAGAATAAAAGTACAATAAAAATGAAAGGAATCATTTGCCCTCAACCCAATACATAATCTATATCCGTCTTTAACATAGAATAAATTCAGCAAAACACAAAGGAAAATAAATAAACCGAATTTATAAATGAGACAGGATCAGCCAATCAGGTCGAATATGGACTGACATCCCAATTTTTTTTGTTTTTTTTTTGACAAACTTGTGTATCCTTTCTTCACGTTTTTCTTAAGTTTAATGTATTTGTACTTGTTTGAAGGCTAAAGCAAAACAAAAACAAACAAGTAATATTAAGAAAATGCACGTAACAACAGCGTTGCGTGATGATAATCATAAACAAAGCAAATGTTTAACTATATTAACAGTCCACAATGATTGAACAGTTATAAAAGAGAAGATATTACGCGTCACTATGCACACAAAGAACTTTTTGAGACAATCGGACATGGCTTCTCTCCACTATCCCCAATCTATATGATCTGTGTTAGCATAGATTTAGTTGACATGTTATTGGAGTTTCTGTCCACATTGTGGAAGTATTATTTTGCTGTTGTTGTTGTTTTGCTAACACGTAGTGAAGACTTGGATTATTCAAATTCTAGTTATGAATGTTGTCGTTTTTAATAAGAGACTTAGTCTCATTTTCGTTTAATGGGTCTCTGCAGTTACCGTTTTCTTAACTACTAGTTGAACTAGTGTTTCCGTTTGTTTCGGTCGTTGTTATTTGCTTCAGTTGTATGTGCTTCGTATAAAAGGCACTGAACGATTATTCTAATAAAGTGATCATTTCAGTGCAAATTGTGTTTCTTCTGGTTTCAAATCACATTTGGTATCAGAGCAAAACAAAGAGAAGTGATCACGAGAGAAAATGAGCGACGACAAAACACTTACCAAGATCCCTCACTTCGATGGTCATTACGATCACTGGAGTGAATTGATGGAGAATCTCTTGCGAGCCAAGGGACTATGGAGCCTGGTGGATGAAGGATATACTGAGCCGACAGTGGGAATTGCAATGTCTCCATCCCAGCAGAGACAATACAATGATCTTAAGATGAAAGATCATCAGGTGAAGCATTACCTGTTTCAAGCAATTGATCGAGTTGTGTTTGAACAGATCTTGGATCGCAGAACATCCAAGATCATTTGGGAATCAATAAAGCGAAAGTTTGGTGGAAACGAAAGGGTGAAGAGATCTCTTCTCCAAACCTTAAGGCGGGATTTCGAGATTTTAGCAATGAAAGGAGATGAAAGCATTGACGGTTACTTTAAAAGAGTAATGACGATTGCAAATCAGATGAGAAGCAATAGAGAAGAGATGTCAGATGAGAAGATTGTGGAGAAAATACTTTGCACTCTGACAGAAAAATTCACATACGTGGTGGTGTCTATTGAAGAGTCTAGAGACACTAGGAACATGACTATCGATGAACTCCAAAGCTCGCTGTCCGTCCATGAGAAGAAATTCAAGAAGATCATTCATGAGGAAGATGATCAAGCTCTCAATGTTAGGGGGAGAGGCAGAGGATCATACCGAGGACGAGGCAGGGGTCGAGGACGTACCTTCAACAAGGCGCTGATCGAGTGCTACAGATGTCATAATCTGGGGCATTTTGCATATGAATGTCCAAAGATGCAGAATGCAGCAAATTATGCAGAGTTAGGCGAAGAAGACGAAGTTCTACTGATGGCGTATGTGGAACATCAAGGAAAACAGAGACGTGATACATGGTTTATAGATTCTGGATGCTCAAATCACATGTGCGGGGATCGAACTATGTTTTCAAGCCTAGACACTACTTTCACTCATAGTGTCAAACTTGGAAACAACCACAGACTGGTGGTTAGTGGGAAAGGTATGGTGAAGATTAAGCTTAACGGAATAAGCTATGTGATAAACGATGTGTATTTTGTTCCTGAGCTGCGGAATAAACTACTCAGCGTTGGACAACTTCAAGAGAAGGGGCTAGATGTGCTATTCAGAGGAGGAAAGCGAAAGACATGCAGTATATTTCACCATGGGAATGGAAAGATTGCAGAATCTGTTATGACTGCAAATCGGATGTTTGTGCTGCTTAGTGAATCACACGGAGAAAAGAAAGACGAGAAGTGTCTTCAGGTTGACGTCTCAGATCAAGCAGAATTATGGCATCATAGATACGGACATCTCAGCTACAGTGGTCTCTTCACACTGTACAACAAAAGGATGGTCATTGGCTTACCTGCAATCAAACAAGAGAGCATCACTTGTGAGCCATGTGTGAAGGGAAAGCAACACCGAGTGTCTTTTCCAAGGCAAAGCAAGTGGAGAGCAACTGAAAAATTGCAACTAATCCATTCTGATCTGTGTGGTCCGATCACCCCAGCTTCAAACAGTCAGAAAAGGTACTTGATAAGCTTCATAGATGATTTCTCTAGGAATACTTGGATTTACTTTGTTCTAGAGAAGTCTGAAGCTTTTCATCAATTCAAGCTGTTCAAAAGATTTGTTGAAAAGGAAACAGGGTCGTTCATCAAGTGCTTACGAACAGACAGGGGAGGAGAGTACAACTCCAATGAATTCAAAGAGTTCTGCAAAGAGCAAGGAATTAAAAGACAGCTGACCACCTCGTACACACCGCAGCAGAACGGAGTGACTGAACGCAAAAATCGAACCATTATGAATATGGTGAGAGCGATCCTGATAGAGAAAGGAGTTCCCAAAACATTCTGGCCAGATGCAGTACAGTGGACGAATCACGTTCTCAACAGGTCTCCTACGTTAGCCGTGAAGGATATGACTCCAGAAGAAGTCTGGAGCGGAAACAAGCCGTCAGTTGAGCATTTCAGGGTATTTGGTTGTATCGGACATGTTCATGTTCCTGATGTCAAGAGGACCAAACTCGATGACAAGAGTGTGAAGTGTGTCTTAGTTGGCTACATCAGTCAATCAAAAGCATTCAAGATGTTTGATCCTCTTGAACAAAGGATTTACATCAGCCGAGATGTAATATTTGAAGAAGAAAAGAAGTGGAACTGGGATGCTAGCTATTCGACTGAACAAAACATGGAGCTTGAATGGGAATATGAATATGAGGACGCAGAAAATGAGTATGAGGAGGGAGAAGTAGAAGCAGAAGGAGGAGAAGAAGAACCGCTGAATCAGTCTGGACAGAGTGAGGATCAGAGCGAGGAAAGTGAGGAGTCTCCCATATCAAATGATCCTCAAACATCAGTCAGTGAAGATTCGCCCATACCAAATGATCCCCAAGCATCAGATGTGAGCAGAGTAAGAAGCAAACCGGTCTGGGCAGTTGACTATGTATCCGGAAATGAGCTATCTGATGCAGAGGAAGAAGCAAACATGGCAAGAGTCGAAGGTCTTAAGTATGAACTTCTTGCCCTCATGGTCATTACTGATCCTACAGCTTTTCATAAAGCTATAGGGCAGTTGAGATGGAAAGAAGCCATGGATGCAGAGATAAGAGCGATAGAGAAAATTCAGACATGGTCACTTGTGGTACCTCCTAAAGGCGTCACAGCAATTGGTGTAAAGTGGATTTATAAGACCAAGATCAACGAGTTGGGAGAGATCGACAAACACAAAGCCAGACTTGTAGTAAAGGGGTATGCTCAAGAATATGGAATAGACTACACAGAGGTCTTTGCTCCTGTGGCTCGAATGGATACAGTGAGGATGATAATAGCATTGGCGGCACAGAAAGGATGGGGAGTATACCAATTGGATGTCAAGTCTGCATTCCTACATGGAGAGTTAAAAGAAGATGTGTTTGTTCAGCAACCTCAAGGTTACGAGATAGCAGGGAAAGAGCATCTGGTCTACAAACTTCACAAAGCTCTTTATGGACTAAAACAAGCACCAAAAGCTTGGTTTAGCCGTATTGAAGCTTACTTTATCAACGAGGGGTTAGAAAGAAGTTCCAGTGAACAGACATTGTTCATCAAGAGAAGAGGAGGTAAGATTCTCATTGTTAGCGTTTATGTGGATGATCTGTTGTTCACTGGAAATGATGATGGACTACTGAATGGGTTCAAGAAGTCTATGAAGAATGAGTTTGATATGACTGATCTGGGAAAAATGAGGTACTTTCTTGGAATAGAAGTGGTGCAACAGACTGATGGTATCTTTATCTGCCAAAGAAAGTACGCAGCTGATGTGATCGAGAGGTTTGGAATGCAGAACTACAATCCTGTCTGCAATCCCATTGTCCCTGGACAGAAGATCGGTCGAGACGATGCTGGTGAGAAAGTTGATCCGACTCTATACAAGCAGATGGTGGGAAGCTTGATGTACCTCACTGCAACACGCCCTGACCTGATGTTCGCAGTAAGTCTCATCAGCCGATTTATGTCTAATCCTACGCAGCTGCATCTTGCAGCAGTTAAGAGAATCATGCGATACCTGAAGGGAACAATGGTGTATGGGATTTGGTACAAAACGGAAGAGAGAAGAGGTATCGTTGGCTACACGGACAGTGATTATGCAGGGGATGTAGATGACAGTAGAAGCACTTCAGGTTATGTATTCTTGATGAGTGGAGGAGCAGTCTCTTGGTCTTCACGGAAGCAACCGATCGTGACTTTATCAACAACTGAGGCGGAGTATGTTGCAGCTGCGACGTGTGCGTGTCAGGCGATTTGGATGAACAGAGTTCTTAAAGAGATTGGTTATGAAACTGATGGTGAAATGGTGTTACTATGTGACAACACATCCACCATTAAACCATCCAAAAACGCAGTCATGCATGGGAGTTCTAAACACATTCGGGTACGCTATCATTTTCTCAGGGACTTAACGAGAGAAGGCACTGTTAAGCTTGTATACTGCAACACAGAGGAGCAGCTGGCAGACATCATGACAAAACCGTTGAAGGTGGTGACATTTCAGAAGATTCGTGGAGCTTTTGGAATGAGTTTGTTGAACTGAATGCTTGAGAAGGTTCAGTTCAAGGGAGGGTTTGTTGTCGTTTTTAATAAGAGATTTAGTCTCATTTTTGTTTAATGGGTCTCTGCAGTTACCGTTTTCTTAGCTACTAGTTGAACTAGTGTTTCCGTTTGTTTCGGTCGTTGTTATTTGCTTCAGTTGTATGTGCTTCGTATAAAAGGCATTGAACAATTATTCTAATAAAGTGATCATTTCAGTGCAAACTGTGTTTCTTCTGATTTCAAATCACAATGAATATATTGAAATCAGTTTTGCATGATCAATAATTCAAGATGGGGTTCGGCTGATCTTTTCATTAAAGGACCAATTTGATCAAAATATATATATATGTAATAAACTAATATACGTACCATGTACACATCAGGGTGTGTCTGAACCTAACAAACCTGAAATACCATTTCCTTAAAATTAACTGTTATTACTTGTTACTTCTATAAAACTATTACATAACTTTCGAAAAGGAGAAAAAAACGAATATAATAGTTTTCGTTTTTTTTTTTTTTTTTTGATTATAAACCATAAAGATTTGGGTAAGGCCGATACTATGATTCCAGACAAAATGAACTAGTCTCGATGTTCCAATTTTATTTATACATTTTCCAAACGTTTATAATCCATAATCCAAAAACTGAACAAATTTTTTTTTGATTACTAGTAAAAAACAACCTCAAATATTACTTTACTTAAGATTAAATATGTATCATTTCTAAAGAAATGCGGATGATGAAATTTAGTGGTGATCTTATTATGTTGAAAGTATAAATTGATTTTTGTTATAATATCATATCTCTTACCACACAAGAAAAAGTTCACATTAATCAAAATGAATATGATTCCCTCGTCCACAAAGACACTGACAATTGGCAAATACTTTCTTTTTGCACATGTCTCCGGTCTGACCATTTCATTTGTCACCTCTCACTTATTGCAATTTCCCCTTTCCTCTATATATCAAAAGTATCTAAATATAGTTAAATGCACATACAAAATATTTAATATGGTAATTTACAACATAGAAAAATTCACTAATATGTGAAAACTTATTTACACTAGCAAGAGAAGATTTCGTTTATGCTTATAAACAAATTATATTTTTCTAAAATTTGAACATGGTCGAAACTTTCTATCTACCACACAATATATTACAGAAGTTTAAAATATCCTTGAAATGATCTTTTACAACCGGTTGTTAAGTTTTATTTTTTTCTTTTGGATTTTTTGTCGTCTTATTTCTATAGGGGGTTCTCGGATCTTTAACACTACACGTTTCTTGGTTAAAACTTTAAAATTGGTAAGAGGAACAATATATAAAGAGAGATGTGTAGACAAAACCTCATAATATGGAATATTGGATACTAAAAAATAACAACTTGAATTATGATCAAAAGTCACGTATGTCATTTTCAATCACACGTTGGTTTGTCTGGCATACAGAAAATGAAATAAAAATAAGTTGAGTTACACAATAATATATAGGTTACAAAATTAACCGAAAATTATGGAGATTTTGGAAAGGAAAAACAGAAAAGACGCTTTCGTTACTCGCTGAAAAGGAGGGGATATATCTTCATCTTTGTTTGTGATGACACTTCTTCTTTTTTTTTCCCTTTTCAATCAGTGTTTAATTATTTGCATCCTTTTTTTTTTTTTTTTTTACTTTTATCATTCTTTCGTTTCTTTTAAAAGATAAAATACATAGAAACTAAAAAGAAATGAAAACAGTTCCACAAAAGTCACAATTCTTTTCTTTTATTTTATTAAAGAAAGTCACCATTCTTTTCATTTGTGATATGATGGTTCTACGTAAAAAAAAAGTCCTGTGTAAAAGAGTTCTACGTAAATTTCATAACAGACGTTTTTTCATAGACCTTTTTATACTTTCTAACGTGTGATTTACTTACTTGTTTAACTTTGCATTCGCATTTTTTTTTGTTTGCAAAAACGAACACCAACTTTTAAAGTCTAAACCAAAATAAACAAAGAAAGAAGTACATATTTAATTAATGATATAACTATGATACTATGACCAGAACCTAACGACAGAGATAAGGTAAACAGTTAACTGATAGGTCAAGATTCAGAACAACGATCAATATCGTGTAACATATACCGGAAACACCAATAAGTCAACAATTTCGAGTTTTGACGTGTATACTAAGACCTTTGAATTACAACCATTTATCCTGAACTTAATTTAGTTGTGAAAACTCATATCATATGGTTCATAAGCTTTAGTTAAAACCAAATTGCTCCGTACGTGTAGGAGTTTTAGTCTTTCTTTAGTGTAACGAGCATTAATTTGGTCAATGAAAGTTATTATCATCTTTACGTTAGAAATTTGACAGGAAAAAAAAACTATAGAGGCTATCCTACGTAATTAATTTAGCTACCTGATACTATAACTTTAGTAAAAATACAAATAAATCCTAGCACGGGTCAAAATATTCTACACTCACACGTGACATACCTGAATCTATTAATATGAAACATTTTATAATGACGATGACTATTAGTATATCATCTAATTGAATCCAGCTATCAAATAGTTTTTTTTCGAGATTGAGAATCATTATTCATCCTTCGCACCGTCAAGTAATCGTAAACTTAGAAAGCAATCAAAACTTAAAGCTAAAAACCCTGATCAAGAATTATTTATGGCATGCCATAAATTGTTTTAGAGGATAGAAATGCAATTTAGTGCGGATAAAACATAAATAGTAGTACCAACTGTAAGAATATAGTCAGAACAGACAATTATTACTCATTGACTATCCCAACTATAAGAATGTGCAATAGACACGAATTGACCATTTACAAAACCCGGATCCACAACCAAATGACCATATACGTACACCATTTGTGTCTCCTTTTAATTATTTTAACAAACGCAAAAATTGAGATTACGTAGAGACTGCATCAACTTCAGACATTATTAAACAAAAGAAATTAGTTACAAAGAAAAATCAGAAAAAGCTTGAATTGTACAAAGATCCGGAGTTTCATTGATGGTAATATATAAAGTTTATTCGTTTCGATAAAAATCTTGACTCTTTTTTTGTGGAATACTTTTTTATAATAAATTACTTTTCCATTCCTTTTTTCTTTTAGATATTTTACAAAGTAAAGTTTAAACTTACTGTATATCTGTATAATTTTGGGAAAAATCTGTATAATAAGCCAAAAATATGATTTGCTGAGCTAAAAATGAGCTGCAAAAGGAAAAATATCCTAAATTTCTATCAAAGTTTTACTGGTCATTTCGTAAGAATACAATAATTAGTCATTAATATTTAAATACTATATTAAGAAGAAAATCACACGACTGAGAAAGAAAGCAAAATAATATCTTCCACTATATATGCGCTTGACATTTGTGACTAAGAGCCCCAAAACACACACAGAGCACTCAGCGGAAGAAAAACCATAGAATCTCCGGCGAAACTCCTCCGTAATCGATGGCGGGAGAGAATCAAGAAAAAGCCCTAGAATCAAAACCACCACACTTTGTGCTAATACATGGCATGAGCTTGGGATCATGGTGCTGGTACAAAATCAAATGTCTCATTGAAGTCTCTGGCTTCGTCGTCACTTGCATCAACCTAAAATCTTCCGGCATCGATCCTTCCTCAGCCGACTCTCTAAATTCCTTCGACCAATACAACCAACCACTCATCGATTTCCTCTCCTCATTACCCGAACAAGAACAGGTCAGACGCACACACAAAAGACCTGATTTAAGTGATTCTTGAATCTGAAGCAAACTTACTCTGTTTTCTCTGTTCTGTTTTCATCATTAGGTGATACTTGTGGGTCACAGTGCAGGAGGACTTAGCGTAACAAGCGCGTTACAGAAGTTCCCTAAGAAGATCTGTCTCGCTGTTTATATCGCAGCTACAATGCTCAAGTTCGGGTTTCAGACCGATCAAGACTTGAAAGATGTATAATTAAAAAAACAACTTTCATTAAAAATTAAGTTAACTTGTGTGTGACGTTATGTTATTTGTCACAGGGAGTGCCTGATCTATCAGAATATGGCGATGTCTATGAGCTCGGATTTGGTTTAGGACCCGAGAATCCTCCGACCAGTGCTCTTATCAAATCGGAATTTCGGAAAAATCTCCTTCACCACATGAGTCCTCAACAGGTTTTCTCTATTGTTTCATTTCCTACAACGCTCAAAGATCCAAGATATCCAATAAGTTTTTGTGATATTGGTCCGTAATTAGACGAATATCTATTGAAACTAGAAGTAAACCAAAATATTTGGCGTTCAGAACATTCAATAAAAATATTTTGCAATGTTTCAATTGTATTTTAATATATATATATATATATTTTTTTTTTGTCCTTATGTTCTGTTTTTCTGTTCTTGCTAATATGTAAAGGATTGTGCGTTGGCTGCGTTAATGATGAGACCAGCTCCGCTTCTGGCGCTCACAACAGCAAAACTGGATGAAGAAGAAGAGGAAGGGGATATGGCGCACGTGCCTCGCGTGTACATCAAGACTTTGCAGGACCGGGTCGTGAAACCGGAGCAGCAGGAGGTTATGATTAAACGGTGGCCACCGAGCCAAACTTATGAACTGGACAGTGACCATTCTCCTTTCTTCTCTAACCCCTTTGCTCTCTTCGGTTTACTCCTCAAAGCTGCAGTTTCTGCAGGTTCCATCTAAAAGCTTTAAGAGCAAAGGATCGTGTCTTTTTTTTTTATAATGTTTTGTTGTGTTGATTCAAGAACCGGTTAAGTAGTCGGGTTTAGTTGAGAGATTATCTAATAAAAGAACAAAATTGTTTATTAAACTATATTTACTTGAACAGTTTATAGTTTCAGCAGTCCTTACTAACGGACCTTCCGTACTGAATCTTGATTGTGTCTTGAGAGAAGCAATGTGAAGCAAACCATTGTCTACAATACGTATTGAAAACACAAAAGCCTAGCGTTTGATTGTAGTTGATGTTTTGAGCGAAGATAAAACTGCGTTTGCGTTTGGCCACATTTGTTTTGAGAGATCAATAGATAAATGCGATTCCATCCATTTCCACATCATAAACAAGAAAGATGCACATTAACATGATTGTCATAGAGTCAAAAACATTTATTTGGCAATAGAGTTTCAGAAAAAAACTGACTCTGAAGATTATATTAAGAAAAACTGGCATTCAAACAAAGTCATGGGTTCCTGTAGAAAAGGAGTGACTTCATGCTTCAGAACCTGTGCTCCAGTTTCTCCTGTTCCTGGAAATGCTGAGCATACCTGCATTTATATTTGTGGATTTGAAGATTACTAACAACGGTTATGATGATGAGAAAGGAGAGACTGGATTTAGTAATCTTCTCAGATGAGAAACCACAATATGCAGCACTGTCATGTATTTCGATGCAATAAGAGACTGAGGTTGAGCAAATCAATGGCATCACCAGCAAGAACTTGACAACTATAAACATTAATCAATGAATGGTAATGACACAATTAAAATCTTCAACACAAAATCAAATAGTTGAAAATGCAATTCTACATGAGTGATTCACCAACAGTGATCATTGTTACCTGTAAGACTTTTTCAAACTCAATATTCAGTTTCAAAAACAAATCTCACAATTAAGGAACTCTAGAGTTATTCATCAATCTACATGAGTGATTCATCATTCATCGAAAACGAACACACAAAAAGGCTACATCTTCACAAATGAAGAACCCTAAATCCATTTGTGCAACACAATCCCGATGAAACAAAATACCGCAAACTCGTACAACAACCAGATCGAAGAACAATCACACAACCACCAGATCGGAAATCCCCAATGACTCGTTTACCAATCGATGAAGAGAGAAAGAGAAGAGAGAGAGTACCAGTAGGTTCCGAGGACCGGAGTGACGAGGAGAGTGGCGCTGATCCAATTCTCCGAGACCTTGTGGTGGATCTTCTCCGGGAGACCCTTCCAGAGTCCGGTCATAATCTTCTGCTGAAACGGCGAAAGCGCGTAAACCACCGCCTTCAACTTCACCGGCTGCTTCCCCATTTCTTCACTTCCCCGACAATCCCAACAATTCACGATACGCGACGAATCTCCCAAAAACCTGAATTAACCTAAAATATAACAATCTCAACGAAGCGTGATTTTAATTCGATTTTGGTTCGGTTACAATTACGATTTAAACCGGATGACCTGGGTCAAAAACAATTGTCTTCATTTATTTATTGTTTTGGTTTGATTCAATTAGTGTAAACCGAATTGGATAACCACCGACTAGCCTAGTGACTAGAGTGATAGATGATGATTCAGCTCATCTTCCAGAGGAAAAATACATCGATCGATCGAAGAAGACGATGAAGATCTTCCACGTTCCTTGTCTACAAGACAACTACTCCTATCTGTGAGCGATTTCATATACTTCTTCACTTTTTTTCCTTCTATTTCTGATTCGGTTCATCATCAGTTTTTGGATTGTTTCTTCTTTGCGCAAAAAATAAAAAACAGGATAATCGATGAGAGCACCGGAGACGCGGCGGTTGTGGATCCAGTTGATCCCGAGAAGGTGATCAAATCGGCTGAGCAGCACCGTTCCAATATCAAGTTCGTACTCACAACGCATCATCACTGGTAACCCACCATTTCCCTCTATTTTCACCTCAAAGTCGGTAACTTTATCAAATTGATTCATCTCTGAGATTCTGTTGCTTCCCATAGCTCAAAAAAATCAGGTTTTGATTGTATAAAGTATCTAAACACTTTCGACTTCAATCCTCGGATGCAACAGTAATAGAAGTCTGTCACTACTCAGAGCTGTCGATTCTCGTTTGAATTTTCAGTTTTCTGATCAAATTTTCGCGATTTTAAGGGTTTTCTGATCCTTGTTATTGATTGAGTCATCGTTGTGAGTTGGTGCATTTTGATGCTAGGCCTCAGTTAGATTCAGATGTTTTAATACGTTCTCAAGTAGGGGCATCAAGCTTTCACATCTCAAAGCTGAAAGATTCTGTTTTTCATCGGGAAAGAAGGAGCGAGAGAAATAGATATTGTCATATAATTAATTTTGGTTCCCTAGTCTGTTGTGATGAATTGGGGTTTGAAGCGACATATTCATTTTACGGGTCATTCTCTGATTGTTGGGTTGGTTTTTTGGCCGGAAGGGATCATGCCGGTGGGAACGAGAAGATGAAGCAGTTGGTGCCTGGAATCAAAGTCTATGGAGGTTCTCTGGATAAGGTGAAGGGATGCACCGATGCGTTAGATAATGGTGACAAGTTGTCTTTGGGTCATGGTGTTGACATCTTAGCTCTCCACACCCCTTGGTTTGTTCCTTTTCATGAACTTAGAATACATCTGTTTCTAACTTTGATCTTATTGTTACCACTGATTTTTGTTACTTCATGTGTCAGTCACACCAAGGGTCACATTAGTTATTACGTGACCAGTAAAGATGGAGAAAATCCAAGCGTGTTCACCGGAGATACACTGGTAAGTGGTAACATAAAGCTGGATGCTCTCTCTCTCTTTTTCACATTAGTCACACAAAATCCTCCTAACGAATCATGAATCTCTATTACTAGTTCCATATAAACAATGTATTTATTCTGGTTCTATACAGTTTGTTGCTGGATGTGGAAAGTTTTTTGAAGGCACAGCTGAACAGATGCATCAGTCGTTGTGTGTGACTCTGGCTTCATTACCTAAACCGACACAGGTTTACTGCGGCCACGAGGTAAAAAAAAAGCAACAGAACATCTTTAATTGAGTTCTTAGCTCAAGGCAAGGGTATCTCTGTAAAACTGAATAACGTGCTAATCATATCTTACAATTCCTCTCAGTACACGGTGAAGAACTTGGAATTTGCTCTAACTGTGGAACCAAACAACGATAAGATACAGCAGAAGTTATCATGGGCCCGTCAACAGCGCCAAGCAAATCTTCCCACAATCCCTTCAACACTAGAGGAAGAGCTCGAAACAAACCCGTTCATGCGCGTTGACAATCCAGAGTTACAGGTTATTATTAACTCCTCTCGGTTCACGTTCTCGATCAAGGCTATAGAATACTCTTGTCTCATCTAGGGATCAAATTTGTTATTTTTCCAGGAGAAACTCGGCTGCAAATCTCCGATTGATACACTCAGGGAACTTAGGAACAAGAAGGATCAGTGGAGAGGATGAGAAATGGAGCTTCTTGCCTATGTCTTTTTGTGTGTGTTTGTGGTGAACCTGTGAAAGTGTTCTTTGAACTGGTGATGTTTATATTCTGTGTGAAACTGGTATCCGGTTTAGTAAACCGAAATTAGCTGTGTCTTGTATAATTTTCGGTTTTTGAGATAATGATAATAATCTTGATAATACACATACAGTACTTATATTTTAAGAATTTCGAATTGCAATCCTATATATTTCGAATGCTTTTATTTGTTTTATCCCATATTATCGCCAAGTGGCAACAAACTGAGATGAGAATGGGCCTTTTCACGTTTGGGTCATCCTTTTTTGTCCAATAGATTATTGATGGTGGAGAACTGAGTTCGTCAGAATTTCACAATCTTTATATTTTTATTTTATTTCAAAAAAGACAGAACACAATCTCCAAAACCATACTCAAAACTTTGTACTTTTATCCTCTGTCTGATACTTTAGAAGCAACAATGAACCTAAACACGACAGGGATCTTATTATTGAACCAACCGAAACAGATCCTCATAACTTTCGCTTCCTTATCTTTCATCAACAACAAGCTTACTTTGGGTTCCTCTAGAACCCATTTTCAGATGTCTCACCGGATCTTCGGCAAATCCTCTCGCCGTCCGGCGAACCGTTTCATCGTCTCCAATGCTGCTGCTTCTTCTCCTTCTCTCTCCGGCTCTCCAGGTCTAAACCTTATTAGACATCAAAAAGTGTTCCTTACTTTTCTCTACTCATGAGCTTCTTTTAAAAAAACTCTGATAGAAAAATGTCTGAATTAACAGTGAGATTTATTGGAGCTTCGTATACAGAGATATAGAAGCATTCTGTATTAAATTGTTCCTTTTTTTTGGTGCTAAAGTTGAAACCATTTTGAAATTTGTTGAATCTCTCTGTGTTCTTAGGCTTACCTAAAAGATTCAGACTTTCTGCTAAATTTGAAGCTTTCAGGGTTTCTAGTTCCAACTGGATAAAATTAGATTGATTCAATCTCACAACTTGTGTCCTCTTTTCCCCTGCAGAACTATATTACATGATTGATCTTCCTGATTAAAATGTAGTCATGAATTGTCAGATCAATATTCTGATGCTGGAGCCCAGAGAAAAGAGGAGATGGAGACTGTAACAGAACAGGATCCAATGAACTTAGCTGATCCCGACAGCTGTTTCTGTGAGTTTCAAGGTGTTCATATACACCACAAAGTCTTTGATCCACAGACACTCTCTGATGAAGAACCAATCACAAGCGTCGACGCTCAAGGTACACAGAAACCCGAGTTTCCCATGATACTATTGCACGGCTTCGGCGCTTCTGTCTTCTCTTGGAACAGAGTTATGAAGCCTTTGGCTCGGCTTGTCCGCTCAAAAGTTCTCGCCTTTGATAGACCTGCGTTTGGATTGACTTCTCGGATTCTTCACCCTTTCAGTGGTGGAACTAACAATGACGCAAAGCCATTTAATCCCTACTCAATGGTGTATTCAGTCCTCACTACGCTGTATTTCATCGATTTTCTTGCTACCGAGAAGGCGATTCTCGTGGGGTAAGTTCGTAAGGTGTTTCATACACTTTGCATTTCTTCTTCATATGCTACTAAAAAGCTGAGATCTTTTTTTTTTGCATATGTTGTGTAGTCATTCTGCAGGTTGCCTTGTAGCTGTTGATTCTTACTTTGAAGCTCCCGAGCGTGTTGCTGCACTCATTCTCGTCGCTCCAGCTATATTCGCCCCACGCCCCGTGAACACAACTGGCTCTGGAGATAACCGTGGCGAAAAAGGTAGCAAGAGCAAGTTTCTAGGGACTCTAGTTGAGTTGAGCAAAGTCATTATTGGAGCAATTTCAAGAGTGTTAACGGGAATGGCGAGTATGCTGACTTCTCTCTACAAGAAAGCCTTAGCAGCTTTCCTCAGATCCTCTCTTGGAGTAATGCTGGTACTACTTTTATTGTCTTGGCTTCACTAGTCATCTCATTTCATGGAACCTCAAAAGGGTCTTACTTGATGTGTTATGGTAATGGTTTTATTTACATCAGGTGAGGATGGCAATCAATAAATTCGGAGTAACAGCTGTTAGAAACGCATGGTATGACTCAAAACAAGTGACGGATCACGTCGTTCAAGGTTATACAAAGGTGATGTTCCACTGTTAAAGTTTCTTCTGCATTCTCATGTTCTTTAACTGTTTAGAGATTTGATTTGTATTTGTTTCAAAAGAACAGCCTCTAAGAGCCAAGGGATGGGACAGAGCTCTTGTGGAATTCACGGTCGCTACACTAACAGATAATAATGGCTCAGAGAAGAAACCTCCAATGTCGAAAAGGTTTCAAGAAATCAAATGCCCCGGTAACATCTCTTTTTTCTGTTCAACAAATCTGCAACTTTCATTAGACCAAATGTTTATCATCATGTTTGTTGTGTGAACCAATGGCACATGACACTTTCGTTCATGTTTGGTAATAGTTCTGATTGTGACGGGAGATACTGACCGGATTGTGCCAGCATGGAACGCGGAGAGGCTGTCACGAGCAATACCGGGATCGGTTTTCGAAGTGATTAAGAAATGTGGTCATCTTCCTCAAGAGGAAAAGCCAGATGAGTTCATCTCTGTTGTTGCCAAGTTTCTAGGGGATGTTTTCGGAGGGTCACAACAACAACAACAAGTGGACTTGAAGTTCCAAGGCATTGTGTCATAAAATGTAACTATTATATTCGTCTCAAACAATATCATGCTTTTGGGCCTAAATTTAGAGAATGTTTATGTTATAATATATGTCTTCGCTCATTTGAACAAAAAAAAAAATATGTCGTCGCTCTTCAATACGTAACAAAATCCGCAAATAAAACAAGTGTCGAGACCAAACCAGAAAATCAAGAAGCATTTCTTGATTCTTCAACAGTTTCATATCATAAACGAGGATACATTTTAGCTAATGAAGCTCTTAAATCACCAATGCCTTCATGCTGCTCCTTGTGCTGATGGGAAAAGTTTTAGAGAGAGTCAAGGTGATCGTCACCTTGGAGCACGTAGCCATGTTTACGTTCTCCCAAAGCCAAGACTTAGTCTCTGGGTCAACGAAGTCAGCAGCATCATAAATATCCAAAGTCTGAGGGACAGTGCAGTCTCCCTTAGCCAAGCGATCTTGGTTCTCACGCAAGACAACATCGAGATTCGTCAAAGCAGCAGCAGCAGCAGCAGCAATCTCATCATCTTCGAAATTCGCCATGTATTGCCTAACCCTGTCGAGATACTCCAAGCTAGGAACGCATCTAATTGCAAGAGTAAAGATACAGCCAAGAGCAGCCACTTTCAGGCGCTTGCACCGGTCCAGTGAATCGCAATCATCATTCCTCAGCAGCCGCACGAAACCCGCCTAGATTTTGCGAATCAGTATCGTTGCATACAACACTTGTCTTTGAGAGGGCCGGCTCAATACTTTTAATGGTCTCTGGACAAAAAAAATAATTTAGGGTCCTTTCATTGATAAAAACACAAATTTGGGCCTCTAATAATTGATGAAACACACAAATTTGGGCCCATTATTATCCTAATTTTACTTGATTTGAGAAGTGGATCTGAGGCGGTTGCACCGATTGTCCCACCAGTAAGCCGGCCCTGCTCGAGCGAGGCTAAAACTCGGGAAGCGCTCACCGTGACGGAACTTGAAAGGAAGCTGGTCCAAAACCCTAGAGAGCTTACAAAAAATGCGGTTCTTTGCGTACAAAACTAAGTCCTCATAATCGCCACGGTGAGATTTCTTGAATTTTGGGACAACAATGGCTTGTTTCCGATGCTTCCTGATAGAAAGGATGTCGTCAACAAAATCCTGTTTATTCGGAACCACACTCATCTCCCTGAAACTCCTCTTCTCTCCCTCCATTCCTGCGGATGTATCTCTATCTCTCTGCACAAGACTTGTCAATATAAGAAAGTTGAATAAGTTAAGTCACCCAAATTTCAATACTCTATGCATTTTTTAAATGACACGAACCTCATTTTTTCTTCTTTTTTTCCCACATCTAAAAGTTTATAAACAAGGCTTATATTGCTCGTTTTTTTGTCAATCAAATTAAGGCTCTACATTTAGGGTTTTGATTTTTCCGATCAAAGGGTTTACGATTGTATCCCGACAAAATAAGAGGAATTAATTTATTGTCTTTCTCTTTTTGTTCAACTAGGTAAGGAAAGATTAAAAAGAGCAATCAAACAATACGAAATTTTAATTCCTATGCAGTTCTAATGACACAAAGCACATCACAAGAGAACCTCAAACATCCTACGGTTTTACCAAATCACTACTCCCACAAAGAGTTGCTTGTCAGTCAAGGCTCCAGATTTAGAGTTGCTTAAGAAACTTGGGAGTAATAAGAATTACGAGGATGAGGGAGGCGCATATAAACTTTGGCCTTGAAAATAACTAATTAATCGAGGTTTTCCTGAGGCTAAAGGAGGCAACTCGTCTCAATGATCAGTCATGTGATTTCGTGCCGCACAAGTTAGGGCTGTATGGTCAAATACTTAAAAACCCTTTAGTTCTTTTGCCCCTTTACAAATTACTGTATGAGGATCCATTGTCACAAAACCGGACTGAACCAAATATTCACTGTACCGGAAGTACAACTAAAACAATTAGGCCAAAAGAAAAAGGCAACAGAAGATTTGTCACTACTGTCAATGCACATTTGTTTTCTAAAATAAGCCTGTAACTTTTTCATAGTCTCTCTGTGTAAAAAAAAAATTTATCATCGGTAGAAAAAATGGAACTATCTTCGCGCGGGTTTCTTGAACTGCGGTTTCTGGGATTTGATTTTCTTTGGGATCGTTTCCAGCACTTGTATCGTCCTCTGTCTCTTGGCTGTCAAAAATCAAATGAGCATCAAGAATGTTTTGAGAGAGTGGAAAATATTGAAATCTCTCAAGAGAATTAGACTAACCGTTCTCATGTTGCTGGTAGCTCTCTTGGAGTCTCCGCTGTGCAAACTCAAACCTTGCGTCTGGGTCCAGAGCTTTGAGTTTCTGATAGCGACAAGCACAAAAGACAACTGCTTTTAGAACATTAATAACAAAAACAAAAACCAAACATCATGGCTTTATAAACCCACACACTCACATCTTGTTGGGATCCAGCAAGTTTTGGCTTTTGCTCAGTGTCAACAGTCCGTTTCCTTTGAATCGCAAGTACCGTCTGTTCTCTGCTTTGCTCAGTGTCAACAGTCCGTTTCCTTTGAATCGCAAGTACCGTCTGTTCTCTGCTTTGCTTTGGTTGTCTTCTAGGCTCATCAAAAACGGTGGCTGACTGCTTCATTGCTCTAACATCAACTTCTTCTCTCATCATTTGTTGATCCTTGTTGTACCTCCCAACCACATTGTCTTCATTGCTACGCTCGGGTCTCCTATTCACGCTACTTTGCAAGTTGCTTTCATGTTTGGACTCCACACTGTCAAGAAGATCTGAAAACATCCCAGAGGGATTCACCACCATGAGTGTCAACATATAGGAAGAGTTTCAAGTATAGAACAGAGTATTAAAGAGTAAAGTAACTCACTTCCATCGCAGTCCAAGCAATCTAAGATCTTCAAGTGGCACAAGACGAGAAAAAGGAAACTTGTCAGGATAACATTTCATTTAATGCACTAGATAACAGATGACGGGAGGGAAAGATATGTTTACAGACCTGAGAGAGTTCAAATCCAGTAGGTTCATGAACAAAGAAATCTAAATCATGCGGAGGAGAAGGAAACGTTTCATCAACTACTGAAAAGTTTGCAGAGTCTGGCGTCCCTTCATCACCTGCATCTGCATGAGACAAAGTGTTATGAACCTTTGACAAACAACCTGCTCCGCAATGAGTAGAGAACATGAAGAGAGAGAGAGAGAGCTATTACCAGCAGTTTCCTTCGAGATGTTCATCCATTGTTCCACCAGCTCCTTCCACTCTCTGCGCATCCCATATATAAAAAAACACACAATACTTATATTCCAGAGCCAGAAAGTGCCAAAGAGTTAGTTTTTTTCAAAGTAATTCAACTAGCACAAGAGCAGCTCCCTAAATGATCAACAATGCAGCTTGTTTGCATCCGAAACAAAAACACGTAACTGAATCTATTGGGATTCTTTTACCAAAGTTCAATGCACATCACAAATGGGAGAGTATGCATGCGCACAAGGAAACTAATCTTACGCGTATAGAGTCTTTGCAAGTTTGGTAATCTTATCGGAGCTATGTTTCCTCAAGCCATTAACAGCCTTTCCGATTTCAGTATCCTGCAAGAATGAAAAACCCTTTAAATCACTCCTCCATAAACCTCGAAAGTCTCGAACAGAATCAGAGGAGTCAACAACCAAAATCATACATTATTAAAACAACGCCAGAAACAAACCTTAAGAATGGGCACACTCATAGCCATCGACTCCAGCTTTCTCAGGGATTCGAGTAACACAGAGGTTGACTGCAAAAAAAGATGACCAAAACCAAAAAAACACAGACAAAATCAAAATCAAGATTCCATTTTTCCAAACTCTAAACTAACCTATACGAGTAAGCACAGTTTTTTTGATGTAATTTAAGCCAAAGAGATGATACTACCTCGTCTTCTTTCTTCAACAAGACATCTTTGATCCTCATGACCTCATCAACAATCACAGAAGCCTCTTGTTCATCGCTCAAGGCTTCAGCTTCTCCGTAACTGCAATGGCTAACGATCTGATTATTGTTCAGTTTCGTCTCATCTTCACCACCATCCGCAGCATCCCCAGAAGCATCCTTATCGCCGCCGCTGCTACCGCCATCAGCTCCAACTGCCCTCACCGTGTTACGGCAATGGTTGGCCTCTTCTTCTCCGGCTACGGACAGCTCGAGGTGGTCGCATCCGATGCAGTGGCTCACTTTACAAGAGAAGAGAAGCTCGGCGATTCTGTCTCTCCTGGATTTGAAATCCTTCGGGTTATCCGCAGCAGCCACCATGATGGCGTGGTCGATGATCCCAAAAATGTCAGAATCTCCTCGCCGGAAATAGTCCCTCCAGCTATCCAACGAAGCCGATGGTGTCATTTTAAAGCGCGAGAAAAACGATTTCAAAACCCAATTTTCTCGATCTGAAAACCAATTTCTACTTTAAAGCTTCAACAGATTCTGGAAACAAACGTAATCTCAAACGATTAAGAAACTCAAGAGGAAGCTGGATTTTCCCGTTGAGCAGACACAGAAGATATATAAAAATCGATGTTTCTGTTCCCAATTCCCGGAGATTTTCTGGAGAATGAAGAACTAGAATCTCCCAGAAACACCTCAACAAAACCCAAAAAAAAAAAAAAACTCACAGAAGTTACAATGCACAATCAAAAATTGAACAGAGAAAACTCCTTTTTGAACACTCCTTTTTTCCGATCAAAAGAATCGATAGTGATGATCACATAATCGGTTCCATTAGAGTTTGTCTCTGTTTTTTTGTTTCCCTCTACTATTAATTATTTTCCCCTGAGAATCTGACAAAAAACTCTTGCAGAAAGTCCACAAGAACATTCCCAAGAAGAAAAATTATGTTATTTTTATTAGCCAAATTAAGAGAAGACCACCCGAGAATTAAAAAAATGGGATATATTCATCTTTACTGTATTTCCTTCAATACCTAAAATGTGTATATTACCATTGTTGTGTAGTATTGTACAGATACGTTTCCTTGAATACCTTAAAAGCAAAATTATTTACCATTGTTGTTAGTAGAACAACTAAGATAAGTTGAATGGAGTCATACCAAAATTAATTTTTCAGATAGGGAAATAGATTATTTTCGGATGAATAAAGATGAGAAGATTGATTTTTCAGTCATGGTGATAGAAGTACACGTTTTTTTAAGATATAGATGAACAAAGTTATCTTAGTCCTGGCTTGTAACAACTTGACACGCAGGTAACATTGATTTCATATCAACTAGTTGGATTTGTTATTCATAATTCAATGATCATCTTGCATTTACGATCAACAGATTCGTCACTAATTGTGGTTAATTACGTTGTTTGACTCTATCTACAGCGTCCGCCACCTGTTCCCCTTACCGAAGCTGTCTTTCATCTTCCTTTTTCAACATCATCCTTGTTGACTCTCTTTTACGTAAAAGACTTTTCTTCTTCTTCCCTAAGTTTCATCCTGTACTTGGAGATTCACGAGTTTTTTTCGGACGATTCTTTTTACTCGGGTAAGAGATGTTTGATTCGTTTCGTTTCGTTTCACTAATCACAAGTTACCGCTTATGCTCCATAGCTTAACCTTTGATATCTAGGATCTTGTTTCTGCATAGTTTATGTTTCGTTTAGATCTATTAGGTTCTCTCATCGATTTCTTTCCTTGAACTCGGTTCGAAACATCAATTATATTGGGGTATCTATCTGAAATGTTATTTAATAGATCGTGAAACTGATCAGCTTCCGTAGTTTATTTTTGTTTTGTTGTTCAGTAATCAGATTCTATAGCTTAGTTTCACGATTTATGATTCGATTTACCTTTTTTTTTGTTTATGTCTGAACTCTGAAGTCGTTTAAGTAGATGTAACTCGGTTCTGTTGCGTGCTGTATATATAGTAGAGTGAGATAGTAGTATGACTATATTTACGTATCAGATTCTTGAGAAAATTACATTTACTAGCAGCTTGAAAGATTTTCTTCCGTTTTCTTGATCTATCATGTTTCTACTTGTTAAATACACAATGGGTTTACTGCTTTGTGCATCTTTCAAGTTGTTTAGACCTAATCTTTAATTCTAAAACGGGAAAGTTTTGTTTTCTATTACCAAAAAGTTTCGGATGCCAGATTGAAAGATCCTTTGACAATGTTTTTGATGAGAAAGCCTTTTCCTGTTGATGTGAAAGATACTTGAAAATGCTTTGACGAGAAAAAAAACTTTTGTTTTTTTTTGAAGATTGATGACTAGCCGGAAGAATACACATTGGTGTAACACTTGTAGAAGAGGAATTCGTCTTCAAGGAGGTGACGTAAGAGGAGGAGGAGGAGCTTGCATTCACTGTGGTGACACCTTTATTGAAAGGCTCTGTGAGAATGTTGAACTAAGCCCTTTTGATGTTTTCGGATTAGCATTTGAAGAAGCTCGTCACCGTAGGGACAACAACAGAAGATCAATTCTTGAAAACCAGATAAGTTTTCAAGAGTTGTTTAACCGGCTCTCAGCACAAGACCGACGTGGTCCTCCTCCAGCTTCACTAGCCGCGATCAACTCAATGCAAAAGATCAAAATCAGTAAAAAGCATCTCGGGTTACATCCGTATTGCCCGGTTTGTCAAGACCAGTTTGAAACTGGATCAGTAGCAAGAAAGATGCCGTGTAGACATATCTACCATTCGGAGTGTATAGTCCCGTGGCTTGTCCAGCGTAACTCTTGTCCAGTCTGTCGGAAAGAACTGCCACAAGACCGGAATAATGGCCGGAAAAATCCCTTGTTGTATTTGTGGCCGTTCAGCTCCTCTGGTTCGGCCTCAAACCATAACGGATCAGCTTTTCATTGAAATGATTTTGTCTCAGTCCATGTGTTACAGAATTGATCTTGTTTAGATTTAAATATTTGGATGTACATAAGGGTTTTGTAGCTCACTAGTCACTACGAAAGTACTCTTATATATGTAATGTATAAAATATTAATTGTTTTGTATCAAAACTTGAAAGCATATGATATTGTTCCTGCTAGTGTGTCAATATATAAGCTACAAATTGTTGTTCCACGATAAGTAATTTGTTGAAATATCAGTATTCAGCATATGTATTCATTAGACAAGTAATAAGTAGGGTTTTTTTGCATATATTGTATAATATACAGAGAATATTATAGCACTTATTTTGTTATAGTTAGATGATGAATTTAACTTACTAATATGGTTATAGGACCCAATTTCCCTAATAAGTATACTGTTTTCAAAAATAGATCTGTAGAAATATTAGCACTAGTTTTCCTACTGTTGTATACATGCATATATTCACAAATATTCTTATAAAAAAAAACAGAAACACACAGAAAAATGTATATGAAAAAATCGAATATTTGTTATATTTTTGGATGAATTGTTATGTAGATAGTAAAAAAAAAAAAAGAGATACATAACATAACCCTAAAAATAATTAAACTTGCCAATGTTGTATTAACTACGTAATGAGACGTGGCCCGTACATCTCGCAAAACCGTACACATATGTTTGCCACATACACACATATTTCAGCCATGCCGAACCAACGAGCTATGTGTCGCCAACTATTCAGTTTAGGATTTAACGATTTGGTATTATATATATATTTTTTTTTATCAAACAGTAACATCAGCATACGTATATGATATGTCACTGCCAAGAATGTTAATTTTCTGTAAGCTTGTTTAGTTAACTGTGTAGAGAATTAATCCATTCGTCAAGGTTAGTTCGAACTCTTCAACACTCAACTGTCGGTGGTAGTCTCACCCACACGACCAACCCTACATTTTAATTATCAGTTTCCCAAGTTGTATAAATATTACAATTATCATAATCAATACTATGAAATTATTTACGGAAATGAAGTTGAAGGTAAAGCGTGTTGGGAAAATATTATATTATGGGTTGTTCGATATTGGTAATTCAGAGATACCCTAATCCTTTTTTTTTGTCTCATTTCTGAAAGAAAAAAAAAAAGGGTTTTCTCTTTTATAATCGGGAAATCAGAAAATCCACTTCACTCTCTCCATTTTGTGTTTGTTTTTTGTTTCTAAAATCAAGCCTTCTTCTCTGCAAAGGAATCAAGAAGAAAACCTCGATTCGATTTCAAAAGCTGAAGTCCAAGTACCCATTTGCGAAGTTTCTTTCATTTCCTGGATTTGAGTGGGGGGATTCTTTAGCTGTCGTTCTCAATCTGGTGAATTAGGGTTTTTGTTGAGCTGCGGAAGCTAATGATGGGTGTACCCACCGAATGGGAGGGTGGGGGTTCTCCCTGTTGTGGATTTTCTCGTTGCTATGGCCTCTTTTGCTGAAACCTTAGTTGCTTTGTCATGGGTAAAACCGAGGATGATGCGAACCTCCGCACCGGCGACGAAGCTGTCGGCGATTCGACGGAGAGGAATACTCGGTGTGGCTGTTACCGATGGATCTCAGGCTTCGTTGGCTGCAAATGTCTCTTCGTTCTGCTTCTCTCTGTCTCCTTGTTTCTCTCGGCTTTGTTTTTGCTGCTTCCGTTCCCCATGGATCGTGACGATTCGAATCTCGACCCCAGATTTAGAGGTAATTTCTGAATTTGGTAGTTCCCTGATTTCGCTCCTAAAATGTCAATTTAATCGACGTGTCCTGAATTTGGCAATTCCCTCTTTCTCGCCTGTTTTCTCGGTGTGCTTAGGTTTTGTTCTACTGAGAAACTTTCTTATTTGAGCTATATGAATTTACTCTACCTTGAACACTAATTGCAAAGCTATTTTGGGAATGAGATTTGGCCGTGATTCCTGCTTAACTGTCAGGGAAGAGTCAAAAACTGCTTCTTCTTTCAAGCTTTGAGATAGTAAAATGGCTTGTTTTCATCAATTATTGTTAAAAACATAGCTCCTGGATCATTTTCGAGGAGTAAAACCTATCTGACTCATGAGGTGTTTATTTGAGATTTTGGTGCAAATTTTCTATTGATGCATTTTAAGTAGAAGCTCTTAGTTATTGGCATAGTAGTGACGCTTGTCAAATCTAAGTTGTAGTGATTCGTTCTTGACTTTGCACTCGAGATACCTGTAAATTTCACATGACTAATGAACATAAGACATCTTCTTATATCTAGGAGACACATGAGATAATCAATGCTTGACTTAAAAGTTCCATTTATGGGTCATGGATATGATACATTGATCACTATTAGGATTTGGTTATCTTCTTTTTAATTGTTTCTCACATTATGGTGTCACTGTCGATGCAGGTCATGCTATAGTAGCCAGTTTTAGCATCAATAGACCGGTTTCTTTTCTTAATGAAAATATCGTGCAGCTCAAGAGTGACATCTTTCAAGAGATGAGCTACATTTCCATCGACGTATGATTATGTCTCATCTTTTTTCTAAACATTTTTTCCACTTATCATCTCGTTTTTTTCACTTCTGATCGAACTTGATTCAAAATGAAACAACAGGTAATTATCTTGGCTTTAGAACCGTCAGATGGGTTGAACACAACAAAGGTTGTGTTTGGAATTGACCATGATGCGGGATACCGAGAAATCTTACCTCTGTCCTTGAGTACTATCAAAGAGATGTTCGAATCGGTGCTGATTAATCAATCCACTCTCCAGCTTACGAAATCGTTATTTGGGGAAACCTTCCTGTTCGAAGTGCTAAAGTTTCCAGGAGGAATCACTGTGATTCCACCGCAAAGTGCTTTCCCTCTGCAGAAGTTCAAGATTGTTTTCAACTTTACTCTAAACTACTCTATTCATCAGATACAGCTAAACTTCAATACACTTGCCAGTCAACTAAAGAATGGCCTGAATCTCGCACCATACGAGGTTTTGTCATTTCTAACTACAATGTTTCCTTTGCTAAATCTTTCATTTGAAGTTACGTACATAAGCAAGATTGATTTATTGCCTTGAGTTAGATTGTTCTTTAACACGGGTTTTGTATGAATGCAGAATTTGTATGTAAGCTTATCAAACTCAGAGGGATCAACCGTGTCTCCCCCTACAACTGTTCACTCATCAGTTTTGCTGAGAGTCGGGACTTCAAATCCAAGCCCAAGGTTGAAACAACTGAGTGATACCATCACTGGTTCACGCTCGAAAAACCTCGGCCTGAATAATACCATATTTGGCAAGGTCAAGCAAGTTCGTCTATCGTCTTTTTTGACAAACAACAGTGATAGTAGCACCAAATCTCCATCACCCTCACCTCTTCCCCATTCCAACCACAACCACCATCATCATCACCACCACCACCACCACCACCATAACCATCATCACCACCACCACCACCACCACCATCATCTTAGCCCGAGTATGGCTCCCAAGATTCCACCAGTGGCACCTCCTGTTCCTCCGAGAAGCCCTAGAAGATCTCCATTAGCACCTCCACCCTGCAACTCAAGGAATAAAAGAGGACAAAGAGTACATTTCAAGGGATTGTATTTCTCATCTACACCTTCTCCCGCTCCTTCTCCTTCTCCTGCATCACATCGTTCTCCTCGCTACTCTGCTCGGCCACCACATCATAAGCTGCACTCACCGGCCCCGATTCCTGCAGCCAAGACTCGTATAGTGCCAATCTCTGCACCTCTACCACATGTGGTGTTTGCCCATGCAGCTGAACCACCCAAAACCAAATCAAGTGAACCGCACTTCAACGAAGTTGCTAATCCTCAACCGCAGTCCTCTTCATGTAAGTTGCTACTCATCGAATCTAGCAAAGATATATCAAATCATAGACACTCAATTCTGATCAAACGTCCTTTTCTTTCTGTTTTTGACAGCAACAAAAGCGGCGGGTTTGCCATCTTTGGCATGGATTGTCCTACTCGTGTTGATAGCGGCCAGGCTTGGTGAATAACGGCATTAACATGTCTAGTAAACTGTATCAATACATCCTCTCCCTCACCCGACTACTCAAATCTTCAGTGTATAAAAATGAATTCATGTGGAAACTAGAAACATAACAGGAAGAGTTGTTATAGAATGTTGCTGCACAAAAAGGTGCAGCCTTTACTTAATATCCCAATTGAATATATATGCTCGAAGAGCTTCTTTGTATATTGTATCTTCCAAAATCCAAATTTCTACGGCCTAAAGAGAGAGAGTTAAGTAAAGCAAGAATTTCTCTAAAAATTAAAATACAAAACGTTGAGAACATTGAGTTTTACAACACAAGGAAAATAAGGTTTGTATGTATAAACAAGTCAATGTTCGTCTACTTTGGGTCTAAGATGAGTAAGAAACGACCTAGTCGGATCAGGTGGCCACGAGATGGAGACCCGACCGGGGAAGAACGCATGAGTAGGTAACGTACTTGACGCTGTCTAGAAGCACCACCACGAATATCCGGGAAAGTGATTTCGGGTTTGGGGGTATGACTCTATCGGTTTCAGAGTCAACAATCTCCCTCGGATCAAGCAACACCGAGACAACCATGGAGGATGACGATGTGGGTTTGTTGTTACTGTTCCCATGGAAGCTCTTGTTTTGATCGTCTTTGGTCGGCTGGGTTCCAGTGATGTTGAGCTCAGATGCCACAAGTGAAACCGGAAGCCCCTCGAGAATCCTCCTGTTCTTCATTCTCTTGTCGTGGGTGGTGACATTTTGGAGATGCTCCCGTGTAATGTTGGAGACTGATGATGGGACTATCGCACCAGGAGCAATATCAAACTGGAAAACCTCGGTGCACATGCTGTAATCCATTAGTGTCCCTGCAAGAGAATGCAGTTAAGTGTTAAATCCAGAGTCCAGATCATTTCATTTAGTAGAAGTAGAACCATACAGAGCACAAGAATTACCTGAGCCACCTTCATGAAACCATTGGTGAAGTCTCTTCCCTTCGGATGAACCAGAAGAGAGAGCCTTGGAATGTGGAAGCATCGCTCCATCTCCTCTGACACCAGGGACAGCTAATGCAGAAGACAGGGCACTGGGAGTTGTCAACTCGGGTTCTTTGTCTTTTATCGGTTCAGAGATATTCTTCTTGGCGAAAGCCGTAGCTTTCTCGCTCGCCAAAACAGAATGAATAATCAAGTTCCCGTCGATCTTCACAAGGCCATCGTTTCTTGGGACATAGAGAGAAGCAAAGAGAGGCTCACTGGCATTGCTCAGTGGACTTGGTCTTCCGTCTACTTTGGGATGAGCACTATAATCTACTCCTCCACAACTATCTCTCTCACCACGACTCCTACTAGAATGGAGACTTCCTTTAGATATTCCACTTTCTCTTCTAACATCAGAGCCATCGCCAACCATTAGAACCTTCCCTTTAAGCTCGTCATAATATCGACGACCCTCATAATTAGCCAAACCGCCAAAGCTTCCACTCTCTCCTCCATAGTTTACATTCATAAACGGAACCAAAGTACCAAACAAGAAAACAAAGAACAGAATCCCAATAAAACTAATACTGGCAACCTTCTTGAGTTTGCTTTTACCCTCATTCTTCTTACTATCTGCCTTCCTCGTCCTACCAGTCAGTCTAGGAATAGGAACCAATGGAGTCTGCGATCCATAAGCTCTGACCGGATAAGGTGGATACGGCATCCATTGATACGGTAGTGGTGGTGCAGCCATGTAAGGATTCATAGGAGGAGCACCGGAAGCAGCAGCCATCTGATGCCTTAGCGCTGCATTCTCGGCCATAACATACGATATCTTACCATTCAGTTCAGCAATGGTGGAATTCATACTCTTCACTTTCCCTTGAAGCTCCTCAACGTATTGCTTCTTCCTCAGCCTCGAAAGCTGAGCGCTTTCACGGTTCCTAATCAGCCTCACCTTCTTCTTGTCATCATCCTCATCGACTGTTGTCGCGGCTGATTTATCGTCGGACTTTTGGTACTTGAAGCTTCTGTACTCAGCCCCTGAGTCTCCCTTTTCCTTCTTCCTCTTGCTGACAGAAGGTTTCTGGTGAACCCCTAGATTGCTCGATTCAGGGGAGGATAACGCGTCAACGGTGTCGCAAGCGCCGGACACAAAAGTCTTCGAGCCTTGAGATGACACCTGAGAATGAACAGAATCAGATCGACCTTCTGAGCCTCTATCGCCGTTCCTGGTTTCCGATGAATCCAAATTCGCATCGTTTCCGATCGCTCCAGAGCTCCCGAACTCCTCTGGGATCACCACCGGGGTCTCCGCGTCCAGGGTAAAGTTGAAGAAATCATCGGAATCATCAAATGGGAAATCGAAATCCGGTAAATCGCCGTTCTCGTCTTCGAATAAGAAGTCTAGATCGGAGATCGGGAGTTCCATTGAAATCGGATCGGAAGCAGATAGGAAAAGAGGATCTAGCGGCGGAACAGAGATCAAATCGGAATCTGATTGCATGATAGGGTTGGGATCAGGCATCTCCGGCGGAAAAGCAGTCACGGATTCCGTCATCGCCGAGGGTTGAATATTCTCTCTCTCGCTTCCTTGTCGATAATTCCACACGTTTATAAACTTGGAAGAAGACGACGTCGACATTTAATACACTTTATATCAAAGGGGTAAAGAATATTTTACCTCCACACGAGTTTCTTTTACACGTGTGTGTGTAACTATTTTTTTGGCTTATAGCTTCGAGAGTAAGAAATTTATTAAAAATCTATAAAAATTATGAAGTTAACGTTTTCTTTTTCTTTTATGTGATGAAGAAATTCATTAATATGCAGTAACCCCACTCAAAAACATATTAACGAAGGAAAATACCAAAATATAAGTCTACTTCGTGGAATATAATTATAGTGATAGATGAATTGAATTTAGATGGACGTGCATGTGATTATGATCTTGGCCTATGTATATAACTTAATGAAATGTATAGATATTGATGGATGCATCTTTCATAGTAGATGCAACTATATGAAGTTTCTCTGAGTTTGATAATCACAGTGGACAAAAAGTAAACATGTGCTTCTTTATTGATAATTTTGCTACATATAATAATAGAATTATCAAATTAGATAAGCTTCTTTTTGAGGAAGTAGCGTCTGAGATACAAAACTTGAAAAATTGAAACGATAGCTGAGACTCCAAAGGACATAAAGCCAAGCTGCGCAACCCTCCTGTTAGTCTTCTCGTTCAATTCCCTCATAGCTTCTTCCCTGCACCATTAATTGTTTATAAATTACAACTGAAAAAGTCTCGTAGTATCAAGAAAGAGTGATGATTAAGAGTTTTAAATCTAAAAAAACTACATATACAAAATTGAGATGATAGTTAAATAACCTGTATCTTTGATAGAGAATGTCTATCTTAATTGCACCAACACGTTCTGAAGATTTTCGAAGCTCAAGCTCCACACCCTACAAACAACGTAAATGTGATAAGTGACCACATGCGTTGTAATGTTGTTGTTATTGGGGGGATTTAAGAAGTAGGACATGCCTCGATCTTTTCTTTCTTAGCAACAGCATCCCAGTCTTTGGCTCTAATACCCAGCCTCCAGTCAATACTGACGACAGCAGTGCTATTGGGTGTAGTGTAATGTGTTTGATCGTGATGCATCGATAAACAAGCCAAGTATAGTCCGGTCTCGCTCGTTGTAAACGCAAACTGACCGTGCGTCTCGTTTGTTTTCTTGTACAGTTCATTCCCGTACGGTGATGTTACCTATAATTAACCAACACAATTTCTAGTTAAAACCCTCGTTCTCTTGCTGCTCTACCACTACGAAATGTCATATAGTGCATTTATATATTTATACCAATGCCTTCATCTATGAGAAATTGAGACATAGACACTTGTGGTGTCGTTTACAGGATGCTAATCCACAGACTAATTAGCCAGGCTAAGAACAAATGAACTCCGGGTATAAAATCTAACACTAGAAAACTGAATATTACATGTTTTGCTAAGAAACCATTTTATATGCTAAGAGTCTCTTCATATAAAAATATTCACAAATAAAAACGATCACTAAACCGATCAATCGCTAACACATATATGTAGAAGTGGTGCGTTATATATATAAGTAAGCATGAAAATGTTACGAAGAATAGTATGGGAACAAGTATTGGTATATAGATACATACGTGAACATCAATTGTGGGACCAAGTCCCACATTATCCATATCGATGCAAAGGTAATCGGCGACGACGACCACGTTGGCTTGGATCTGTTCGGAGATGCATTTCTCACCGGAACTTGGAACCGTTAACCATATCGCATTCGCCTCCGGTAAAAGAGAGCCACCGCCTGCGAGGCAAATCAGACCAATCAATAGTAACGGTGAGATCGCCATTGTTCGAGAGAGAGAGGGGAGAGGAGTTTAGGCAAAGGCGGGTTTAAAGACAGTGGCGCGTGGGGCTGATGTTCCGTTGTGTATCCCATTGGTAGATGTTTTTTTGTATCCAATCAGAAAGGGCCATGTAGGATGTGTAATGAACATTTGTTCATGCCCAGTGTCACTTAGCCGTTTTTGGAGTATTTAATTAAATGGAAATCTGCGTTTAATTTTGACCAGACAAGATCACCTCTATAAGGAAGAATATCAAACAAAAAAGATTTTCACAACATTAAGTTTTCTTTAATTACATTTTTGTTTCTCCTCAAATTTTTGAGAAGAAAAAATATGTATAACCACCATTCAATTAACGCCTTCAAGAGTTTCAATGCACTAGCTTTTTTTTAGAAAGAACATGTTGACGAAGGTTTGACGTTTTCAAACATTGTGGAATCGTATGTATGGGGCCATGAAATGATGGAAGCACTATGAAAAATCAACATGGAAGCACATAGAAGCCTCTCAGTATCTCACATTCATAATAACTATATAGAAGCTATAGTTTGGGACTAGTCGTACGTTTTGGATTAGTTGGTGGATTGTGTAGCATTCAAAACTAACTAGTCTTATTTAATCAAAGATGTGACAAGCGACAACACAATTTTTTCCACGTTACTAGATGAATTATGGTTCTTAGAGAGAAAATACATTGTTTCACGCTTTGTCTCGATTCTATAAGTTGAATAGTCGTCATGTTGGTCTGAGGACTGTGGTGCTAGACTTTGAGATGTAAAATTACTTAGTGATGTTTCTTATAGACATTGCCTTTGCCTAAAATTTAATAGAAGTCGACAGTACAAAACATTGATATATAGAATGTATTTCCCATGAGAGTTTTGTGAACTGATTGAAATTAATTAATCGAACAAAAAAGACACAAAATTTGCCAACTACAGTATTTGTCAAACAGAAAGACACAATTTTTTTGATCTTTACAGAAGCATGATTTCTTTTCAAACTAATCAGAATTAGACAGCTTTATCTATTTGTCACTGTATTCAATCATAAATTTTTATTGAAAACGCAAATTATATAATATTCAATCATTAATTCTATAATATGGTTTTATTGACAATATTATTCTTACATGTCACTTAAAATCTACAATATAGTAGCACCAAACAAAATATTATTATAGCTATTGGCTAAGATTAGATATCTCGTAATCAACTCAGATGATTCGGCATCATAATAAAACCAAAATTTTTAAAGTATAATTACCTACACAAAAATAAAACTATTATTTATTACAAATTCCTAATATTGTTTTGGTTTGGTCTAGAGGCTAAAGCCAATATTTATTTATTTTTTTACTATTGATCCCACCACTCCTAAGTTTTGTATTTCTATGTTGAATGAACAAGAAATCTTGTTACTCACCCTACAAAGGATGGTGGACACTACAATCAACATTGTTATTTATATTGTCTGTTTGTCATCGTATTCAATTATAAATTTTTATTGAAAAATGCAAATTTCATAATATTCAACCATAATTTTAGAATATGGTTTTGCTGACAATATTATCTTCACATGCCATCTAAAATCTACAACATGGAACTAATTTTTGGTTAAAATTTGCACTAAAAAAATATACATATTAGCTGAGATTATGGTAAGAATAAGCAGATTATGGCAAAAAATCAAAAGATAAACAATACAAATAATTAGTTAACATCAACTGAAATGCATGAAAAAAAGAGAGTATAAAACATTGATATATTTCTGATTTAGCAACATGTTTACTGCAGTTAGAACATCATCAAAAAGCAATATTATAGACTAAACTGAGTTTTGAGATAAAATATGTATTGATTTTCAAACAAATATAAACATTTACATTTTTGAAACCATCTAAGTTGGTTTTGAAAGGAGAAAAAAAACTAAAAAGAAATCAGTATGTTATCTATATACTAGTATGATATCTTGCTCTTTCTAATAAATTACATTTTTTCAGAAATAGTTTTCTTAAATAAATCACCTTGAAATTTTTTGGCTTTGCAAAGCGGTAGACATTAATTAATATCCAGTAACAACAATCCAATAATCAGAAATATGAATTTCTCTCCTCTCTTGATTTTTTTTTTTTGACAAATTTCTACAAAACGACACACCATGAAGAATGAAGTGTGACACCAACCCAACGTATATAAGAATATTAAACTTTCACATTTTATGATTCCACCAAATCAGCTTTGCGAACCCACTTCTCCATAAATGTGATATAATAACATATCAATTTCCCAAAAGTCCAACAATTCAATCCACACAAACAAAAAAAGAAGCAGACCTATAAATGAATTAAAAAAAAAAACTCAAAGGCAGCAACTTTCTTCTTTTTATTCTCCCCACTTGATTGCGAGAGATAAAGGTCGGGAAGGTCTTTTCCTCTCCTTCACCCTCATCGTTTCGCCTCTCTCTCTCTCCCTTCTATCTCAGAATGCTCATCAGAAATAATCTCCTTTTTGTTTCCTTGATGTGTTTTCTCTTCTAATCTCCGGTGAGAGAGAAGGCAAAACTAAGATCGAGAAGAAGGATTTTCTTAGAGACGCAGGGGAACCAAAAATCAGAGGAGAGAGAAGCTATTTATGGCCGCTATGACCGAGAAGGAAGCTATGGTGGATCCTTTTTTGGTCGAGGCTCTCCAGAACCCTCGTCATCGTCTCACCAGTTAGTCAATTTCTCGAAAACCCAGGATCCGAATTTTAATTTCTCTGTGTTTGGGTTGATCTGATTTTGCTCATCGGTAGTTTCCTAGGGTTTCATAGAATTGGGGAATTGCGAGTTTCACTGATTCTCGATCCTTTGTTGGGTAGGCTTGGTTCAATTTTTCTGGTTTATGTTTCGGTGATTAGGGTTCTGTTTTCGTGCTTAGCGATTAGATCGACGACTATCAATTATCCTCGTGATTGCTCTATCCTCAAAATCAGAATCATTTGCTCTCTAGCTTAATCTGAATTCTCATGATTGCGATTGTTTCATCGGCACCATGAACATTAAGGCTTAAGTAATTACTTTAATTTGCATTACCATTCGACTAATGTGATCCTCTCTAAGCTCAATAACACATATAAGCACTTTGTCATCTTATATCAACAATTTTTTTATTTTTTCCACACTGAAAGTTTAATTTTCTTTTTCTGGTAAGATTCTCATCAAATGTGGTTGATGGGTGATATTAAAGGTTGCCTCTTTTGTTGGTGTGTGTGTGTGTTTTAGTTTTGCGGATGGAGCTCGATATTCAAAAGTTCTTTCAAAACCCTGAGCAGCTTCAGTTCGAGTTCCGGCCTTTTCCAACATCTTACCTGCGTCTTGCTGCACATCGAGTCGCTCAGCATTATGGACTAGTGACCATGGCTTTGGACAATGGTACTGGTGCAGGGGATGGATCCGAGAACAGGATCCTGGTGACGAAAACAGCGGAGAGTAGGTTTCCTTACGTCTGCTTATCCGAAATCCCTGTTAAGCAACCTGAGAATGGTAGACCCGAGGGATTCAAGATCGCAATCAAGCCTAGGCCCAAAAGAGGATCTGGTTGCGGAGGTAGCGGCTCAGGAGTACAGCAAAATCTTCTGAGAAGCGTCGAGGAGAGAAAAGAAGAGTATGACAAAGCCAGGGCTCGGATCTTTAACAGCCCTAGCAGTTCCGACTCTGAAGACTCTTCGTCGCTACGAGCTCCTCTTCCTCTTGAAGCGAAAACCGCGTGTATAAACCGAAACGAGACTGAGGTTGCGGTCAATAATACTCCTGTTGATGCTGGTGGCACTAGAGAATCTGGACGCACTTCTCGAGTAGCCATTATCAGAGATAGAGAGAAAGATCGGTATGATCCTGATTACGACAGGAGCTACGACAGGTATGTCGTGGATCCCGCCTACAGGTAAACCTTTCCGTCTCTTAAAACTGCGATTTCATTCAAAGAAAGCTAATTGTTACTCAAAAAGTAAAAATCTTTTTTCTTCTTCTTCTTCTTGTGGTGATGTGTGTAGGTACGTTAGGGTTATGCCATCAGGGCAAAGCTTCAGTCCGATGCCAATCCACATTCCGTTTCACGACGGAGTTTTCCCGCAGATGCCAAGAGGTCACCAAGTTCATCTTAACTACGGGCATCCGCTAAACCCGGCTTTGGGTCCTTTTACTAATAACGCAGCTGCTTACACACCGTGGCCAAACTCACCAGTCGCTATGAACTATGCGCAGTCGTTGAATGGTCCAGACACTAATCTTTACAGGTTGCTCATACTAAAACTGTTGTGTTGTTGTTTGCTCGATTTGAGTTATATCACTCATATCCAATGCTTACTCGTCGTCTTTTCTCTTGCAGGCATCCTTCTGCAAGCAACCCCTGACGAGGAGTAGTGTGTTTTGAGTACTTCAATGTCTGTATGAAAAGAAAAAAAAAAACAGATTTTATAGATATTAGCCCTTAGGAGCTCTGTTCTGTTCCGAACAATTTCTGCTTCTTTCTTATATAACAAGACATATATATTCTCTTTTATTTTATCTCTTAATTATATTATTATCCAAAACTTTTGCATGAACCCTAGACAAAACTTAAAACCACATTTTGATAATGACGTCTTCCTCTTTGTGGTGTTCAAAATTGTTCAAAAAGAAATTGGAATATGGTTCTTAAATAAGATCTTGTTTTTTATGGAAAGATATCGAATGGTCACGTTTAATTGCTTCCTGTTAGATTATTATACATGAGGTGGTGAAGATTTGGAGGGTCGTTTTCTAACTTTGGATAGACGAAGACAACTAATTTCCCAAAATTGCTACAGTCTAGTACTCTTTTGACCGATGGTCTCTAATCACAAGATCCGAAGTTAAAATTGGATTAGACTTATAATCTTTCATATTTTTTTGTACTTTGGTTTGGTCAGTATATGAGCTTTAAAGATCATTTGCTCAAACTAATTTCGAGACAGAAAAAATGGATAGAATGAAACCGAAATACACACTCTTTATGTGAATAACCGTAAAAGATACCTGATTGACGAGTCCACCAAAATTATTTTCGAATAAAAACAATATTTTTCATTTTTCCTTTTTATTATTTTAAGAGAAAAAAAAAAAAACAAAGGATGGGGTCTAACTTGGTGAGACAAGATCAGGACATGCCAGCTATGAACCCACCACCATTGCTTTTAAATCATCATCATTCTTATTTCTTCCCCTCCCAAATAATTTTAACTTTCATTATAGCAGCAAAAAAAGAGAAAACTATCGAAATACTTTTATTGGATTTGGTCCCTTCAATGATTCCATAGACATTTGCATACATAAATGCGACTTTTATAATTGGTGGTAAAATAAGTTGGGTATGATTAAGGAAGTGAGAGCATCAGATCCTTTGGTTCTGATTCTGCCTCCCGTTGTCTTTCATTATTGGTTGTTTATTTTTACTCTATTGATTATTGGTTGCTTACATTGTACCATTTCTTCCATGATCATTATTATTGGTCAATCACATATACTTATATAAATATCTTCCCCAATGACACATTTTTACTGTTACTACTTACTAATTATCAGTGTTCAGATTATATCACCAGATTCTTTATTCTTGCAATCTTAAAAAAAGGTATGAACAGTTTTATCAGCTAAAATATACTTTAATGAGAATTTCAGTGTAAGAGCTTCAAGAACAAATCTAAAAAAGCAGAGGCAAGCAAATTAGAAGGAATGTAACATTGTGAAGTAAAATTTCTAATCAAGATCGATTCTTTTTTTTTCCAACCTTGAGTGTGTTCGTACGAATGTACAAGAACTCATCTTTACAAGAATCATAAAGCAGAGAGCTTATTACCGGAAGATTCGATTTTTTCAAATTATTAATCGTCTCGAGTTGGGAATAAAGTCAAGACTGTTCTTCCTCCATTGGCGTTTGCAGATTCCAAATCCTCAACGTAATTACCAACTGGACTGTGTAATGATGGTGTAGACATTCTGTGAAGCGTTTGCTGCTGCTGCTGCGTTTGCCTCGCCAAGAACGACGGATCGAATTTCCCGTTCGTCGTCGGTGATCCAAATTGCCCATTCGACGTCGGTGAATTGTATTGACCATTCGTCGTCGGCGAATTGAACTGACCGTTCGTCGGAGAACCGAAATGCGCGGCTGCGATTTGACGGTGGTGGAATTGAGGCGGTTGCAGATGAGGATTAGCGGCTGCTGCTGCTGCCGCGGCCGCGGCCATTTGCTGCTGCTGCTGAAGAGTTGCGATTGGGACAAAAGACGGCATGAAATGGTCTGAGCTCGGAACTCGATTCGGGTGAAGAAAATGAGCTGGCACCGGAGAGCTTGCGAAGAGACGATCCGTCGCCGGATCTGATCCAGCTCCGCCGCCGGAAGACAAACCTTGCATTCTCTTGAGGTAGAGCCGGTATTTCTGCAAATGGCTCGCGACGTTCTCTCTGGTTAACCCATCGACGCTCATGAGCTGCATAATCGTTTTGGGGACGGCGTTTTTGATCCCGAGATGCGCGACCGCATCGACGAAGCGTTTGTGGAGCTGCGGCGTCCAGACGAGACGAGGCCGCTTCAGAGTCCGCGCTGGTTCGTCTCCGGCAGCTCCGGAGCCTAGATCTGCTGAATCCGCCGCGAATTCAGCGGAGGAGTTGGCTTGTGAAGACGGAAGCTGGAGCTGCGACGGCGTCGGAGGCGTGGATTGGTGGTGATGAGGTTGACCGGAGTTTCCGTTTCCGTTTACGTGGCCGGGGCTTCGGATATCGAAGGCGAGAGCGAGATCGGGAGAAATCAGAGATTGTGATAACGGCATGAGCTCTTCTGGAGATGGAAGCTCTTCTTCCCATCTTGCGAACCAGTCTGAATCGTCTTCTCTCATTTTCCCCTCAAAAAAAAGAGTAAAAAAAAACAAAATAATGGAACAAATCTCTAAATTCACCTGTTGATTTCAAAAACCAAGAGATATATTCAACCAAACCATCGAGGAAACTGCCTTCAGTGAGATGAGTAAATCAAAATTCGATCCGAAAAGACGAGAATTTTCCCGGAAAAATCACAGAGGAAAATGAGTAACCAGATTAAAAAAGGAAACAAAGCTAAGATATTTATTTATTCACTATCTGGAATGAAGATGAAGAGGAAAAAAGGAAAGAGACGGAATCTGAGAATAGATGATGATTGAGAAAGATGGAGAGAAGTTCGAGGTGGATCTTCTTTCTTCCTTAGCTATTTTTTTTTTTTTGGTACTCTCAGCTTTTCATCTCTAATTTATGATGAGAGTACTTACCAAATCTACAATAACTACATTTATTTTTGTTTCTGAATATATTTATTTTTATTACATAGTTTTCTGGAGATTCAATCAGAAAAAGACTCGACCGACGCTAACTTTGGCGCGTGTTGTCCACGTAGAATCGTTGAAGTGAAAGAAACTAGAAAGTTGAAAAGTTTTATGAATTAAACTAAAAGCTTTTACTAATCTGTCATAAAATTAGAGAGACTTTGCATAGGACTTCTACAAATCACGGTTCTATCATAAAATTCGAGACCCTAATTAAATGAAAAATATGATCAGAATAGAAGTTACGACAAACAGAGATAATAACTCGGTGTTAGTTTGGTCGGGAAACATAAAATCACAACTACTTTTGCCATAAAACGTGTTAATTAGTTTGCAGATCATTTTTGTTGGTATAAAACTAAAGTAATACTGTTAGCATGTCATTGTCAAAAACAATTATGTTTCCAAAGAAATTTCAAGCCCCGATTAATTTAGTTCACTTGCAAGCAAAGACAAAAGCATTTAGTAGTATAAAGTAGCAGTATAAACTAGTCAATCAAATATCATAAGATGAAACTAACATCAAAACCTCATAGTGTATCATTATTGGGATGTAAATTTATGTGTGTTAATTTTGATTGCATATACAGTTTTGGGGACTCGGGTGGTAATCAACAATATTGTTCTCTTATCCCAAAATTTTGTGTATTAATCAAAGACCGAATTGACAATATCTTCAATTATACTACAGAGAACGTACCTTTGTTTATTTAGATGTGACACTGTTTCTTGACTCTGTATTGTAATATCTTATCAATGCAACCGAATAACTAATAGAAAAAATCGCTCTTAAGTAAGCTGTAACATAGTTGCTGATCATTCTCTAACTTATATATATATATATGTGTTTTTTTGGAATAATTTCGAGGCCCAATCTCGGATCACTTGCAAGCAAAAGCAAAATCAGTCAACAAAGCAATCAAGTACAATATAGATGAAATTTTTGTAAAAAATTAACGAGAGTAACAACTGATTTAGCCTTAGGGCATCCATTATCGTCATATTGGCTTTAGCATAATGGTGTTGATAATATCACCCTGGGTCGCCAATGGGCAAAAAAATTTCCCTTTTTTAACTCTTCTTCATATTGCAAAATTCTTTTGAACAAACTTTCTAATAAGAGTGGATTTGGGCCTCGTCTATCTGTTAATGGGTCGTTACTTCGTAAGAGAAGCTGCCACAAAACAATAAAGTAAGTAAACTTCCAACACTCGGTACAAAACAAACAAAAAATTTAGTGAAACATTGCAAATGCTGTTAAAAAAAAAAAAACTTGTTCTTAGTGAGACCAATTGACATGTTAAGTAGTAAATCATGACATTGAAGAAAAAATCCGATTTAACTTCAGAAAGAAGAACAGTAGGATTGTAATTTTTTATTTTATTTAATAATTAGATCGTAGTTTTTAGAAATGAAATTATGTGAAATTGAAAATTCCACACAATTATTATTAATTATAAAAAAAAAATAAAAAATCATTCTACTTATTTATTTATTTTACAGAAGAATATTATTTCGCCATGAATGTTAAAGAGGAAGAGATATATTCTATTACATTTCAGCGTTTCAAACGAAAAAAAAGATTAAGCGTGACATGGTGATAAAGATTCATCCTGAATAAAAAATAATAGTGTAACTGGTGGTGAACAAATAGAGATAAAACCACCTACGAAGAAAGAGATTGATCCTATTAAATTTGGATTCGCGAATGAAAACTTCACTAGTTTTAGAAAAATCGATTTTGATTTAGGTTAAATCACTCTTATCTTTTATTTCAATAATCAGTTGATGTGAATAACAAAGATGATGCTGATCGATGATGTGATGAATCACTTGTTTGATTTGTTTAGTGATTTTAAATCACCTATTTAACTTGTTGATATTTTTTTTTTAAGGGAAAAACAAAAAAAAAATATTTCATTTTAAAGATGTTATAGAATGAATAAAATTCCATTTTCATTTTATTTTATATTTTTTATCCCACATAAATTTATTATATTTATTTCTCATATTCCTTGTGAAGAAAGAAAACAACATAT